TACTGCTGTTTGCAATGAAGGTTATACTTTAAAAGGTGCTGCCACAAGGAACTGTGGATCTGATGGAAAGTGGTCTGGTCAAAAGCCAGAATGCATTCGTGTGGAATGTTCCAAAGTTACAAATTTCATTTCAAATGGACGAACAAATTCAACAGATTCATTTTCTGGAGCAACAGTTTTGTATTCTTGTGATACTGGCTACATAATGGAAGGCTCACCTATCAGAAGGTGTAAACCTGATGGCAATTGGGATGAACCGATTCCTTCTTGTGTTGCAGTTGAATGTCCAATACCAAGAATAATTAATGGACATGTGTCCAGTTTTCAAAGAAGTTTTGGAACTGTTATAAAGTTTACCTGCAAACAAAACCATCGCCTGAAGGGCCCATCAGAGAGAACGTGCCAAGAGAATGGTCAGTGGAGCGGAGACACACCAGAGTGTGTGAAAATCAAATGTGAGCCGCCTGCTGAAGTTCCTAATACTAAGACAACAGTGTTGAATGACACAGCTATCAAGTATGAGTGTTTGGTTGGATATAACCTGGTTGGAGAATCTGTGCGTGTTTGTGGAGAAAATGAAGTTTGGTTTCCAGAAGCACCTGTATGTGAGACTGTCACTTGTGAAGATCTTTCTTCAGTCACTATAGCCAATGGGACAATTGTTTATACTTCAAATAAACATAAAGAGTTTGTGTCATATACTTGCAACACTGGATACACCCTCAAGGGTGAGGAGAGAAGACAGTGTCTGGCTAATGGGCAATGGGATGGTAGTGAACCAACATGTGAAATAGTGTCTTGTGGTCATCCAGGAATTCTCTTTAATGGTCACGTACAGCAAGCAGACTATACATTTAATTCTACTGTGGAATTCTCCTGTGATGAAGGATACAGGCTTGTTGGAGTCAACAGCCTTTTCTGCACAAGTGATGGTCTTTGGGAAGGAGGAGAATTCCCCTCTTGTGAAAGAATCTTCTGCCCAGAACTGTCCCCAACAATTACAGAAGGAAGTGTATCAGTGCCTGTGCTAACTGTAGGCGGCATCGCAGAATATAAATGCAATAGTGGCTTTCTTCTAATTGGTAATGCCTCAAGAGAATGTCTCAACACTGGACAATGGTCAGGAAAAGAGCCCTTTTGTGCCAATGTTTTCTGTACTCCTCCACCAGCAGTAGCTAATGCTATCATGGAAGGGGACAAATTTGGTACTGGCGATGCCATTTTCTATACATGTGGTGAAGGTTATCACCTTTATGGAGATTTTACTCGTGTCTGCCAGCCAGATGGATCATGGTCTAACGAAGCTCCAGAATGCCTCCCTGTTAACTGTCCAGAGCCTGATGGGATAGACTATGGCTGGTTTTTAGGAGAGTCAGGTGTGTACACCGCTAGAATCACATATGAATGTGAAGAAGGGTATGAGCTCGTAGGTTCTCATGAACGTTTCTGCCAGGCCAATGCCACATGGTCAGGGAGTGATCCAGAGTGTAGAAGGGTCTCCTGTGGTACTCCACCAGCCATTGCTAATGCTGTCATGGATCAGACGGAAAATCTTCTCTTTACAGATGCAGTTTCATACTCTTGCTTGGAAGGCTACACAGAGCTAGGCCTTGACACAACCACATGCTTGTCAAATAGGTCTTGGTCATTTATTGACTACACTTGTACAATCATTTCTTGTCCTTCCTTGTCACCAGATGAAATTCCTCATGGCACAGTTAATGTCACCAGCTTCACCTATGGAAGTGATGCATCATTCTACTGCGATGAAGGCTATTTGTTATCTGGAAGCTCTCAGACATTTTGTACTGCACAAGGAATCTGGAGTGAAAGTCTGCCAATTTGCCAAATAGTCCAGTGCCCGGAACTGACTGCTTTAACACATGGACAAATATTGTCTGTTTCTACTACTTTTGGTAGCACTGCATCATTTGTCTGTAACATCGGTTACAGACTAACTGGGGCAGAGGTTATAGAATGCTTGAGCACTGGACAGTGGAATGAATCTCAGCCAGTGTGTCAGATTGTATCTTGTTTTGCTCCACCATTATCTATTCCTAATGGTCAGCTTGTCAGTCCCAAGCCTGACTATGTCTACACAGATATCGTGTCCTATAGCTGTGACTTTGGCTATGAGCTGAATGGGCCAAATTCGCTGACCTGTTTAGAGACTGGATATTTTGACCTGCCTCCTCCAGACTGTCTCAGAACACCATGCCCACCTCCAGACACACTTGGCAATAGCACCTTTACATTACTGGGTAATGACACAGTGTATTATGAATGTGGGGAAGGATTTGAACTTGTGGGAAAGTCAACTCTGGAATGTTTGCTTGGAGGAACATGGGATGGATTGGTCCCATCATGTGTGCCACTGCCATGCCCTGAACCTGATCCTATTGCACATGGTTGGATTGAGAGCACTGAGTTTGTTTATGGACATACCATTACCTACTTTTGTGATCCTGGTTTCTACCTGGAGAATTCCTCAGTTCGTGTCTGCATGGCCAACCAGACCTGGAGCGGTACAGAACCCAGATGTTCTCCAGTCAGCTGTGGACAGCCTCCTGAGGCATTTCCCAATGGTGTTATTACAGGTGAATATCTTTTTGGGGGAAAAGCTGAGTATAAATGCCTACCAGGCTTCGAGCTCTCTGGGGAAAGTACAAGACAGTGCCAGGCTGATGGGACATGGAGCAGCACAACACCATCATGTCTGCGGCTTGCTTGCCCAGCTCCAGGTCAGCTGGTACATGGGAGTATCTTGGGAACCTCCTTTCTGTTTGAGGATTCTGTTACATATACTTGTGAAGAAGGTTATGTGCTGAAAGGAGATTCTGTGAGAACATGTGAGGCTTCACTGACTTGGAGTGGCTCAGATCCTGTCTGCGAAAGAATTTCATGTGGTGTACCAACTGCTCCTGCAAATGGGGCTCTTTTGGGTGACTCATATCTATTTGATGATCAGATTAATGTAACCTGTAATATTGGATACCGCCTTGTGGGATCCGAACACAAAATATGTGAGGCTAGTGGGGTGTGGTCAGGAGCTGACAGTGCCTGTGAGCAGTTATTCTGTTCAGAACCTCCTGTCATCCTGGGCACCACAAGTAACGCCACAGTTGGATTAGATTTATACCAGGTGTATTCTGTCATTGCTTATCAATGTGGTAAAGGGCATGTCATGAATGGAACTGGCTTAAAGACATGTGAGCCATCTGCAGTGTGGTCTGACAACTATCTAGAATGTTTTCCTGTAACCTGTCTAACAGTGGAAAGTATTCAGAATGGTCTGGTCATAGGTGAAGCATACACATATTTATCTACTGTAGAATTTGTGTGTAATGAAGGATTTGAATTAGTTGGCAACTCAAGTGCCCAGTGCAATGAAAATGGAAGCTGGAATTCTGAAATTCCTTACTGCTCTATTGTCACATGCCCTACCTTATCCATAGAGAATGGATATTTTGTAATGAATTCAAATGAGACATCAAACATCAATATAACAAGGGATGTAGGGAAATACATATATGGAGATGTAATTACTTTTTCATGTGATACTGGATATGACATTTCTGGTGTTTTGAAAAGCCAGTGTCAGCTAAATGGGGTGTGGTCAGTGACTGATACAACATGCACACCTGTTCAATGCTCTGAACCAACTGGAATAGATCATGCTGTATTTGGAAAGTCAGCTTTGACATACAGAAGCACACTGGAAGTATCCTGTATTGCTGGTTATGATTTGATTGGGGAATCTGAACTGACATGTGGAGCTGAGGGACTCTGGGAAGAGGCTTTCCCCAAGTGTGTTCTCTTGGTTTGTGGTTCTCCCCCATCTGTGCCCAATGCTGTCATTGAGGGGGACAGTTTTAAGCAAGGTGACACCATTACTTATAAGTGTAAAAGTGGGTATGAACTAATTGGTAACAGTTTGCTGACATGTGGCACTGCCAATGCCTGGTTGGGCTCATCTCCCAGCTGTGTGGAAATTGACTGTGGCCCTCCTCCAGTATTGCCAGAATCGACAGTGACTGTGGGCAAGACAACATTCAGGAGTGCCGCACAGCTGGTATGTAATACAGGGTATATTCTAAAAGGAAATGCTACCATGGTTTGTAGTTCAAACCGATCTTGGAAGTATGATGCTGGTTTATTGTGTGCTCCAGTGGACTGTGGTAAGCCACCATCACTGCCACACAGTGTTTACACAGTTAATACCACAATACTAGGCAGTGTGGTTGAGTACATGTGTGAGAAGGGACACTTCATGGAAGGACAGAGCTCTCTATTTTGTCATGAGGATGGATCTTGGGTCTATGAATATCCTGTGTGTTCTGCAGTGGATTGTCTTGAACCACCAGCTGTCGACCACACTACACGCATCTCTAATGGAACTGTATATAACAGCGTTGTAAACTATACATGCTTTGAAGGCTACAGTCATGTTTATGCAAACAGAACGTCTCTAGTGTGTGGAGACATGGCCTCATGGCTAGGAGAACTGCCAGTGTGTGAAGTTGTGGACTGTGGAACCCCATCAGATTTCCCACATGCCTTCTACTTGCTGGACAACAACAGAACAGATTATTTCTCCTATGCTATATACCACTGTGACACTGGATATAAGACTGAGGAAACTAACCTACATTTTACATGTGGCTCAGCAGGCCAGTGGGAAGGCAATGCTTTCAAATGTGAACCAGTAGAGTGCTCAGATGTTCCTTCTATTTTGTATGCAGACAATGTAATCATGAATGAAACAACATTTGGAGCACAAGCTTATTTTTCATGCTCAAGTGGTTTTGTTAACACTGGACCAGATTACATAGTTTGCACTGAGACAGGTCAATGGTCTGTTGACCAGCATGCTTGTTTGCCTGTAGAATGCCAGGAACCACAGGATCCAGAATTTGGCATTGTGGAATACAACTCGACAACTTATACATCATCGGCTACATTTTCCTGCTTACCTGGTTATTCACTGGCGGGTAATACAACGGCTGAATGCCTGGCCACAGGTGTGTGGTCAGCAGTGGCACCAATATGTCTCATTGTCGACTGTTTACCTCCACCTGAAATTGAACATGGCAATGTCTCATTTTCACTGACAACTTACCAAAGCAGTGCTGATTACTCTTGTAGTCCAGGGTATAAACTCAGCAACTCTAGCACACTGATTTGTGTGGCTAATGCATCATGGTATGGAGAAATGCCTTTGTGTACACCAGTAGCTTGTCCGGAGCTGCAGCTTCAACTACATGGCAAAGTCATTTACTCTACCTTGACATACCAATCTACAGTGACCTTCAGTTGTGAACAAGGGTTCAGGCTTGTTGGTGAAACTAATCTCACTTGTCTGGAAAATGGCACATGGTCTAACCAGCCACCACAGTGCCTCCCACAAGATTGTTCACAGCCTTTAGAAATCAAACATGGAGAAGTTCTTATTTCTGGTACCACCTTTGGTTCCTCAGCAACTTACAAATGTAATGAAGGATTTGTAATGGAAGGCTCTAATACAGTATTCTGTGATGCAGATGGTGCTTGGAACAGTTCAGCACCAATCTGTAAAATTGTAGACTGCAAACCACCACCAAAGATTACACAAGGTATTATCTTATTTACTTCCACCACTTATCTGTCAGTTGCTACTTATCAGTGTAACAAAGGTTACCGGCTTGCAGGAGCTGCAGCAATCACTTGCGGTGCCAGTGGAGATTGGGAAGCTGAAGGCAAGCCCCACTGTGAACTTGTTGCCTGTCCTGAACCACCACACATACCCAATGGTTTGGTCTCCTTCCTGGAACTGAAGTATGGCTCAGCTGCATACTATACTTGTAACACTGGGTATTCCTTAAATGGCTCTTTTGTAATTCACTGTGGTAGCAATGGAACATGGGATAAAAGTCCACCAGTGTGCACTGAGCCCACTTGCCCAACCTTACAGAACATCTCAAATGGATTTGTAAAGATCAGTGGATCTCGTGTAGGAGCTGATGCAAACTATTCATGCTCTACAGGATTCTATGTTGAAGGAGAGAACAGGCTTGTATGTCTCAAGAATCAGTCATGGTCCTCAGAACCACCTGCTTGTAAACGGGTCAACTGTGCAGCCCCTCCTGTGATTGCCAATGCCATAATTATTGCAGACTCTGGCAGAAACGTGTCGTCAAAAGTCACATACACCTGTGTGAAAGGATATCAGATGGTCAATGACCAAGATAATGAAATCGCCATCACCTGCGCGGATGATGGGGATTGGTTTGGCAAAATACCTTCCTGTGAGATTGTTGTCTGCTACGATCAGCCTCCAGTGATTTTTCACAGCACATTTGTCACCAATGGCGACACTTACACATCTGAAGCCATATACACATGTGACCCAGGCTACACTATGTCAGGCAACCATATCATTAAGTGTGATCATACTGGACAGTGGTCAACTGATCATTCCCCCTTGTGTGTTCCAATACCATGTGGTCTGCCACCCACATTTGACCACTCCTCTTATGAGGGTTCAGATTTTACCTACAGTCAGTCAGTCAGCTACACTTGTGACCCAGGCCATGACCTGATTGGTAACTCAGTCAGTATCTGTGACATCACTGGCAGATGGTCTCCTGTTGCATTTACCTGTCAAGGTAAGTGATTTATGTGTGATTTATAAATAGTATCTGAATTGATCATCTTTCATGTAGTATTAAACACAAATATGTGGTATCAGTGGTGAGTTTACTGATGTGCTAGCCATGTAGCTTAAATCCACAGGCACAAAACTCCCCAACCCCCCCTCCTTGCTCTGCACTCAGTGGCGAGGCATAATCAGTTTGCATCTGTAAGCTGTTTAGAACAAAAAATTTAGCGTAGAGAGTATCACGTGATATTTTCCTTATTGATTCACTGAGTAGAGTATTCATACACAGCTAGCATCATAGTATTATAGTGACTTGTAGCTATTGCATGTTACAATTTTTGTGTGAGTGGCATATTCATAAAAAAATAGTAAAGAATATTAATAATAAATAATTTAAAAAAATAAATTTTTCTTTTGCAACAGAAAGTGTAAGCAGTGATTACATCTGTTACATGCATGCCTCACCACTGCCTAAACCACCTTAAAAGTGACAGATACAGGCAGTAAAGTCAGTGTTTACTAAATATGACAGTGGTCTGGGTTCATCTCTGTTTATGGCAGGGTATTTTTCTGACTGTTAAAGGCTTTATAGTTCATCCATCCTCATAATAGGGAAACAAAAGGTTTCTCTTGCAGTTGTCTAGCAAAGAAAATCAGCAGGGACGTGAATTTGTCAGCACATCTGTTTATGATGTGACCTAGCATATATGAAGGCCTGACACTTCACACAGATGTGTCAGTTTCTGCCATGATGATAATTTAATTTATTTGTCTTTATTCTGAGTATTTTTAAGTTTTCTATTGTTTGTTTACATGTACATTTTGGTTCTCCTTGTGTTGTTATTTCTATTTTGTTTTGAATCAGTTATCCCTTTCTCTACCAAACAACTCACCATGCATTCTTGGTCATTTCAAAGTTTATAAAATGTTTTCTCTGACTTCTGTCATAGACAGAAATATATTAACCCAGTGAACATTAATTATTAGATTAACTACTTCTGTTCCATAATGTTTCTTTTAACTCCTTCAGGTTTTAGTATTTATTGTTTCATTTAAACTGAAATTGAATGGTAAAGATAGGTTTTAAATAACCGCTTGCAACTAAATCAGTTATGTGCCATCTCCTCATTAAAAGTTGTCTGTAATCTCCAATACTTACTGTCCTGTGTGTTCGTGGTGCATTCTTCTGATATTTTCCCAAATTATTCTACACTTTGGTAGTGGTCTGGCTTCAATCCTCAGAGGATGCAGGATTGTTTACTGACCAGCTCAGCTCTGGTCTCTGCCCAGTCTCTTATGTTAGGAGTAGAGAATCAGCATCACACCACTTTAGACATTAACATAAACACTCCATCCTCATCTTCAGCAGTCATCAATGAATTTCAGCACTAATGGTTCCCCTTGTAGTCTAATTATATGTTGGCCTTGCCTTTCCTTTTAACACTGAGTGTCTATCAGATTTTCCCTGGTCACGTATATTTGCATAATATGTTTCCCCTAATTGTGCCTTATACCTGCCATCATCTGCTATTAAGTGTCCTGAGTATAATTCTTTATTTTTTAATCATGATTTTCATTTCATTCATACTTATGTTTAAGCCAGTGCTTTCCTTAACTTGTATACCTAAATTACCTACAGTTCCTGCTCAGTTTCAGCCCGTAATTGCCTGTTTATAGTTGAACGCCAGATTTGTAACTTTCACTGATACATCTAATGTGAAGACTTTATTATCACTCCTAAAAAAAAATTACCTTTTTGAATGCCTTTAGGCATATTGGACGTATATGGCTAGCCCTATATTTTATAGACCAATTGGCACTTGGTATTATACTGACCTCTTTTACTTCCCAGGACTACACCTGGTACCCAGTCAAGGCTGAGTCAAATCATTTTGTTTGTTTGTTAATAAGGCTCTGTTAGAACCTAAATCCATGACATTCAGATTCCCAGGTCAGCGTCTAGCCACTACACAGTGGCAACTCCCTTTTAAGAGGTTTTATTGCATGAAATGAATGAAATTTCCGGTCATACTGGTAGAGCTTTGTCTGTAACTGATGAGGTTTAGAATGTCCAAAATAGCTTTGTGGGTTGTCAGACTCCATTGTGAGGTCAAATATACAATAGGCCCACTGCCCCTCACAAGCATGTCATAAAAGTCGACTAATTAGGGTTTACTTTGAAATCAGAGTGCATCTGCCTGAGAGGGAGGAACCAATAGTCTGCATACAAAGAATAAAATAATACAGTGTAAAACAATGTTAATCCAGTACTGATGAAAACCAAAATATCAAAGCTTTGAGTACCAGGCATCCTTGTTTGTTTGAGTTCCATAGCCACACTGTGGAAAAGGGGGGGGGACAAAGAATAGACCCAGAGTCCTCTAACAGGCGTGTTGGTGAGAGTTCACTGATTAGGGTTTCTTCTTTATCAATTTTTACAGAAATGACTCATTTTGTATGCAGATTGTCAGTTCCTTGCCTTCAGGACAGAAGCCCCTAATTAGTTGGCTCTTATTACCTGCTTGATAGAGAGGCAGTGGGTCCATTCTTGTTTTCCCCATAATGGGGCCCCAGAACCCACACAGGTATCATTCTAAGAAGGTGCCACTTTAAGTAATCCATTGTTGGGTTGGGGAGTTAATGTAGTAACCTAACAGGACAAGAGTTAAAGTAATGATTGGTAAGATAGATAAGTGTCATAAATGATGGACTAAAAGGAGTTCAGACAACTATAACTTAATGGCTGAAACCAACAAATGCGTGTTGAGTTGACTGGTATTTACTGAGTTAAACATGTTTTATTTCAGTTCGGCACTGCAGCTCAGTGATCCCAGTTCCACAGAATGGAGAGATAGTCAAGGGGACTAATGTTGGGACTTACATTGTGGGATCAGCAGTTGAGTTTTCCTGCCACCAAGGGTTCACACTGGTTGGTTCCAGAAAACTGATCTGCTCTGAAAGTGGTGAGTGGGACTCTAGCCCACCTCAATGTCTATATATCATTGGTGAGTACACACTTGATGTTCTGGAGATATTTATGCTGTAGAGGTATCTAGTGTATGCTGCAATGGAGGACTGAGTGTGCATGGGAATGACCTGCACTGACCAAAACCTTGTCTGTTTGCCATAGGGATGTCATACTGATTCCCCAACTTATAGGGTCATTTGGATACCATATATAAATTAAATATGTGTCACCAGATTTTTTTTTCGGGGGGAGGGGGGGGGGGGGGGGGGGGGGGGGGGGGGGGGGGGGGGGGGGGGGGGGGGGGGGGGGGGGGGGGGGGGGGGGGGGGGGGGGGGGGGGGGGGGGGGGGGGGGGGGGGGGGGGGGGGGGGGGGGGGGGGGGGGGGGGGGGGGGGGGGGGGGAGGGTTTGACAGTGTAAGAGTGGCAGTGTTAGAGTTTCCAAGGAGAGCATCTTATGTGGAAAAATATTAGTTAGGAAAAGCAAATCTCAGGCATGTAAATAAGAGGAATAATAAAATTAGTCTAATGTGGGGAAAATGCTAGGGAGCTGTAAGATGAGATGTGTGAGGGACACTACAGAACTGGGAGCTTTAAGATGAGATGTATGAGGGACACTACAAAACTGGGAGCTGTAAGATGAGATGTATGAGGGACACTACAAAACTGGGAGCTGTAAGATGAGATGTGTGAGAGACACTACAGAACTGGGAGCTGTAAGATGAGATGTGTGAGAGACACTACAGAACTGGGAGCTGTAAGATGAGATGTGTGAGAGACACTACAGAACTGGGAGCTGTAAGATGAGATGTGTGAGGGACACTACAAAACTGGGAGCTGTAAGATGAGATCTATGAGGGCCACTACAAAACTGGGAGCTGTAAGATGAGATCTATGAGGGCCACTACAAAACTGGGAGCTGTAAGATGAGATGTGTGAGGGACACTACAAAACTGGGAGCTGTAAGATGAGATCTATGAGGGCCACTACAAAACTGGGAGCTGTAAGATGAGATGTGTGAGAGACACTACAGAACTGGGAGCTGTAAGATGAGATGTGTGAGAGACACTACAAAACTGGGAGCTTTAAGATGAGATGTGTGAGGGACACTACAAAACTGGGAGCTGTAAGATGAGATCTATGAGGGACACTACAAAACTGGGAGCTGTAAGACAAGATCTATGAGGGACACTACAGAACTGGGAGCTGTAAGATGAGATCTATGAGGGACACTACAAAACTGGGAGCTGTAAGATGAGATCTATGAGGGACACTACAAAACTGGGAGCTGTAAGATGAGATCTATGAGGGCCACTACAAAACTGGGAGCTGTAAGATGAGATGTGTGAGAGACACTACACTACAGAACTGGGAGCTGTAAGATGAGATCTATGAGGGACACTACAAAACTGGGAGCTGTAAGATGAGATCTATGAGGGACACTACAAAACTGGGAGCTACCATTGAACTGATGTGATGAGCCATCACATGCTTATAGAAATTCTGTGAAGCTAAGAACATGTTTGCACTCTAGCATTGGCAGCCTTTTTTCAATAGTCTGATATGTTCTTTTACAGATCTGTGTTCTGAGAAACTTGAGTTGGACAATGTGTTGCCTCCACCACCGGGAAAAGTTGCAGGTGATGAAATCTTTATTCAGTGCCAGAAAGGATACAAGTCTGTTGGCAACATGACATCAGTGTGTCAGTCTGACAACTCTTGGTCGATACCCCAAGGGAGATGTGAAAGTAAGACCTGATGTGTTCAAAGCAATGTGTTTAAACTATTGAAATGCATTGTTTAAGTAACATTATTATGATTATTTATTATTATTATTAATATTTTTGTTGTTATTATTATTATTATTATATTTTTTCTATACCATTACCTCTACATAAAAATGGATATAAGATAGTTTTTCTAAACTTTTTGGGGCTCAGATAAGAAAATAAAATGATCAGGAATTGAGCTAATTTCTCTGTCTCATTATATCAGTCTAAAGTATGTAATTTTCTAGCATTTCAAATAACAAATGCAGTAACTACCATGCAGGTATCTGTTGTCTCATAAAACTGTGTGTCCTGGGTTAATAGGCCCCTGTTGATTATTTCATCAGCTCCTTCTTCCTCTTTAAAGTCTTCTTCTTCTTTTTGGCCTTCACCGGCTGAAAACTCCAGAGGAAATTCTGCTTGTTCATTCACTTCTGGACTTTAAAAGTCTTTCTATTTCTGGTGATCATATGTGCTGGACATGTATTTTTGTATTTGAGTCTCATCCAGTCAACCACATTTTTGAATCCATGACCTCATAGCCTGCCTCATATTCCCCCCCCCCCACCTTTTCCCCCTTGTATCATACCTTGTAGAATGGTTTTTAGAATTGTATTACATGACTACAGCTTATTATTTTTAATGTTTCTTTTGAACTATAACCACCTTTTTGTGGTGTTTTTCCCCCTTACATTGGAGGTTCATGACAGATTATGTTATCAGCCTTTTTCAGTCTGCTAATGCTTTTCTAGTCATGTATGCGCTCTTTTTCTAGTTTACCTCAAAAAATGTTAGGGGATAAAATATTATTAGCAATCTTAAGGTCTGTGATGAATTCAACTCTATGTGTTGCATGTTGAGACTGACCGCTCTAGACTATATCAGCACCATAACTTCTAAATCATGAGGCAAAAGTTGAAGGATTTCCCTATGAAGATCCTCTATTCTTATTACCTCTGGATAAACAATTGTTCAAAGTCTTTAAAAAAAATGGATGTACTAATAATCAACTAATCATGTACCTGGCAGGGGTGTACTGTGGTGAGCCAGAGGTGGACAACGTTCAGACAACCAAAGTCTTAGGTCGCAATTACTATTCTGGAGACAGTGTTATGTTTATGTGTCGCTACGGTTACCTACCTGCACATGGTCAGCCTGTACTGACTTGCTTGGACACAGGAAAGTGGGATAGAAAAGCAGAGTGTGTTGGTAAGTTACTAACTGTTGTGTGAAATGTACCTGAAACTTTTAACTCAGCCACTCTCTCAGTATGCTCCAGCAGCACTAGGAAATGTTCTGGGAAGTAAAGATGGCTGGCATCATATTGACCACATCACTCAAGTGCTGTTTTTTTCAAAGCATTATATGTTTAATGGATCACTGGCTCAGAAAAGAACCTTATCTTTTTTACTTTAAAAAAAAAAAGAAGTAAAACAGAAATGAAGTCTGAGAAAGAATGCAAAAAGATTAACAGGACACAGCTGCTGTAACCTTTTTAACCTAAGAAGCCAAAAAAAAAAAAAAATCAGTACTTCAAATGGTGTCAAATTCTCCATAAATGTCATTTTTCATGCTTGTCTACACTAACCTGTTTACGAGATCCATAGTTAATGCAGAGCGTACCGTGATCGAAACCCACTGCTGGCTGCGTGGATTTTTATCATGGTATGGGGTGTCGCAGGTTGACGCAGCATGAAATGGGTACCACGATATATGTCCTGGGGAAGAAAAGATGGCCGGCGTAATGCTGACCACATTACCCACCCAGTGCCGAATGGGCTGTAAAAATATGTTTGCTCTTCCTGTATGCCCGATGCGCCTAAAGGTGTGAGAAGGAATCTTTACTTTACTTTTATAGTTAATGTTATTGGCTGATTGCATGACTGTGCAAATGTCAAAAAGGTCAGGATATAAATACATTAACTAACAACAGAATTTAGTGGGGGGGGGGGGGGGGTGTCTTATGTGTGTTTATAGGACCATGGGGACATATTCCATTCAGTGCTTCACCCAGTTTGTGTTTATTGATTACTTCTGTTCATTATTTATTTCATACTTTAGAAAAAAAAATTTCATCCAGGTCAATTAATTTTGTGTAAATTTATTTGTGACCTGTGTAAAAATTGGTATAGATTGAATTCTATCGAGATCATGGCATTTGTTTTTTAGTGTTTTCAAGCTGAAGGGGTGAAAACACAGTTTTCTGATATAAAAAGCAAGCAAGTAAAGACTATGTCCTTCATGCCAGACCTATAGTTTTTAGGAAACTGGCATTTGATAGGTGGTGGGATCAACCTCGTGCCATTCACCTTTACTGTCCTAGGACATTTCCTTATGCCTATGTTAGACTAGGCTCCCACTGGAGCCAAGATAGAAGAATTTGCAACTTGTGTGGAACACAGTTCTTTGTCTGCACATCAAGCCAGTAACATTTTATTGTTCTGAAATATGGACAATAAAAAAACGAATAGGTTAAACTCAGCATGTAGTAAATACAACATGAAGATCAATGTAAACAAAACCGAAACAATGCAAGTTAGTAGAACCCCTGACGCACTACACATACAGCTGAAAGGTTCTGCCCTGAATCAAGTTAGGGAGTTTAAATATCTAGGAAGTATGATCACAGAAGATGGTAGAATTGACAGAGAAATAGAAACCAGATGTAAGAAAGCAAGTGCACTTATATACCAATTGTCACCATTATTAAGACATCCAAGCATAACTATGAGTGCAAAGAGACAGATTATTAATAGCATATTCATTCCAACATTAAGCTACCAGTGCCAAACATGGACACTATCTAAAGCCCATATACGCAAAATTACTAACCTGCGAGATGAGGTGCCTGAGAAAAACAGCCAACCTAACCATACGAGATCGAGTGAATAATGAAACCATCCGGCAAATTGTGGGAACGACACCTTGTACTAGATTCATCGAGAAACAGCAGATCAAGTGGTTTGGCCATCTCGTTAGAATGCTGCAAGATCAAATACTATCACAAGCACTTCATCTCAGAAGATCAGCTACAAGAGCAAGAGGACGGCCGTGGAAAACATGGATCGACAACATTAAAGACACTCTACGCCTTCACGGCATGACAATAGCCAGTGGCAGCCAACATGCACTGGATCACAAATTATTCCTCCCCATGACGCTTAATGGCAGAAATGGTTTATGATGATGATGATGATGATGATGATAATGAAAAAACGAATATGGTGAAAAGGGTATAGAGGCATTTTGGATGTGGTGATATAGAAAAGTGACACAACTAAGATTATAAAAAAAATTTGGCAGATGAATAAGTTCTGAAAAATAGAACATGAGAGAAGACTTGACATAATCAAAAAGTGGAAACTGTCATGACTTGGGCACACCCAAGGACATGGGAAAAACACAGTGAGAGTTCTGGAAGGCAAAGCAATGAGAAAAAAAAGAAATGGTAGATATTAATAAAACAAGCTCTGATCTGTGGTAGCAGACATAGATACAGGGTATCTCATCAGTTTCCATGGGAAGAATAAACATGATCTGATCTGTAGATGCAGACATAGATACAGGGTATCTCATCAGTTTCCATGGGAAAAATAAACATGCTCTGATCTGTGGATGCAGACATAGATACAGGGTATCTCATCAGTTTCCATGGAAAGAATAAACATGATCTGATCTGTAGATGCAGACATAGATACAGGGTATCCCATCAGTTTCCATGGGAAGAATAAACATGATCTGATCTGTGGATGCAGACATAGATACATGGTATCTCATCAGTTTCCATGGGAAGAATAAACATGATCTGATCTGTGGATGCAGACATAGATAAAGGGTATCCCATCAGTTTCCATGGGAAGAGTAAACATGATCTGATCTGTGGATGCAGATATAAATACAGGGTATCCCATCAGTTTCCATGGGAAGAGTAAACATGATCTGATCTGTGGATGCAGACATAGATAAAGGGTATCCCATCAGTTTTCATGGGAAGAGTAAACATGATCTGATCTGTGGATGCAGATATAAATACAGGGTATCCCATCAGTTTCCATGGGAAGAGTAAACATGATCTGATCTGTGGATGCAGACATACATACAGGGTATCTCATCAGTTTCCATGGAAAGAAAAAACATGATCTGATCTGTGGATGCAGACATAGATACAGGCTATCTTATCAGTTTCCATGGGAAGAATAAACATGATCTGATCTGTGGATGCAGACATAGATACAGGGTATCTCATCAGTTTCCATGGGAAGAATAAACATGATCTGATCTGTGGGTGCAGACATAGATACAGGGTATCTCATCAGTTTCCATGGGAAGAATAAACATGATCTAATCTGTGGGTGCAGACATAGATACAGGGTATCTTATCAGTTTCCATGGGAAGAAAAAACATGATCTGATCTGTGGATGCAGACATAGATACATGGTATCCCATCAGTTTCCATGGGAAGAATAAACATGCTCTGATCTGTGGATGCAGACATAGATACAGGGTATCTCCTCAGTTTCCATGGAAAGAATAAACACGATCTGATCTGTGGATGCAGATATAGATACAGGTTATCTCATCAGTTTCCATGAGGAGAATAAACATGCTCTGATCTGTAGATGCAGACATAGATACAGGGTATCTTATTAGTTTCCATGGGGAGAATAAACATGATCTGATCTGTGGGTGCAGACATAGATACAGGGTATCCCATCAGTTTCCATGAGAAGAATAAACATGATCTGATCTGTGGATGCAGACATAGATACAGGGTATCTCATCAGTTTCCATGAGAAGAATAAACATGATCTGATCTGTGGATGCAGACATAGATACAGGTTATCTCATCAGTTTCCATGAGAAGAATAAACATGATCTGATCTGTGGATGCAGACATAGATACAGGGTATCTCATCAGTTTCCATGGAAAGAATAAACATGATCTGATCTGTGGATGCAGACATAGATACAGGGTATCTCATCAGTTTCCATGGAAAGAATAAACATGATCTGATCTGTAGATGCAGACATAGATACAGGGTATCCCATCAGTTTCCATGGAAAGAATAAACATGATCTGATCTGTGGATGCAGACATAGATACAGGGTATCTCATCAGTTTCCATGGGAAGAATAAACAGGATCTGATCTGTGGATGCAGACATAGATACAGGGTATCTTATTAGTTTCCATGGAAAGAATAAACATGATCTGATTTGTGGATGCAGACATAGATACAGGGTATCCCATCAGTTTCCATGGGAAGAATAAACATATCACCAACTCCATTACAAGCATAACTCCATCTGTGCTTATATATGTTCTTCAGCAGTGAAAGAAACACATCAGAGTGAGGTTTCAAAACAATAGTATTTTTCCTATGTATAAAAACTTATAGGACACCCTAGCATAAGACATATAATTATAAAATGAGATTGTCAAGAAACAAAAGCACCTCAGCTTTACAGGGACAGGAGAATGTATTGTCAGGGACATGCAGCAGTGTGAGGGATTACAATAGTACATTTGCTGGCTCCAGAAGCAGGACCACTTACAATGGAAAAGGCTACACATTGTGGAGACCATTTAGGAATGAATGCTAATGAAAGACAATGTTAGATGAGACAACATATACAGTTACATAAATCTGAATTAAGTGCAGATCTGACAAGACAGAACATATAATAAGAAAAGTATGACTCAAGCACAACCATTGTAGTATAACATGGACACCTTAAGACACTTGCTGTGGTAGATGGTGAATCCATAGGTGTGCACAATATGCTATGATGTTAGGTCAGTAATCGGTATATCCAATAACTTTCACCACCACCCAAGAGACTTAATTACTTGATGGTTTTGGAAGACACACAGTGTATTAATCATCTTTTAATGATTTGCTGTACTGTTTAGAAAAAACTAATTGAACTACACATTTGTAACAAGATGTAAATGATTGACTGGAAGTGAACAACATTAGTTAGCAGATTCCGGCATTTAAGAAAAAAGACAATTCTCTTACCAGTAGTGCATTAGGCATGTGATGGTATATGTGGTTAACATCATGCCAGCCACCTTCACTTTCCAGGAGATTTGTTGGTACCAGTTAAAGGGTAGGCCCAGATTTAGAGCTAAGGTCAATTTGTTTCTAAAATCCTCCCTAGAACAGATTCAGACCCTATATATAGGCCCAAAAACAAGCAGCTTG